GGGGGTGCTTTGTGGGGATGGGGGCTGTTTTTTTAAAATGGGGCGCTTTGTGGGGATGGGGGGGTGCTTTTTGAGGGGGTTGGCTGTTTGTAGGGATGGGGCTGTTTTTTTTAGGGTGGGGGCTTTGTGAGGGATGGGGGGTGCTTTTTGAGGGATGGGGCGTTTTGTAAGGGGGGGCCGCTTTGTGAGGGATGGGGCCTGCTTTTTTGAGGGATGGGACCTGCTTTGTAGGGATGGGGGCCTGCTTTTTGAATGATGGGGGCCTGCTTTTTGGGATGGGGGGGGCGTAGGGTTAACCTGCTTTTTAGGGTGGGGAACCTGCGTAGTTAAAGGAAAATAAGGAAAAGGAAAACGCAGACCCCCTGGCCCAGCAAGTCCAAACTCCACCCAACCCACCCCTCTATCAGGGATTTTCCATTTTTAAAGGAAAAACGGCAACCGACCTGGGAAAAAATTTGGTCCCACTCACCCAAAACCATTACCAGTATTTATCCAACCATTTTTAAACTAAAACCTTTTCCTTTTAAACGGGATTGGGAGTTTTTCCACTCATCCCCTTTATTAAAAAAAAGTCTTTTCCTTATCCTTCTAATCGAATTTTTCCCTTAAAACATTCGGGCCTGTCTACTTTGATATTTTCAAACACTTTTCATCCCCTTTATTTTTTTTATTTTTCATTTATACCCCTAATCATATCCCCCCTAATTCTACGTTTTTCTAGAGATGCATTTTTCAGGGCCCTTAGTCTTCCTCATAGGGAAGGTTTCTGATACATGGGATAACTTTGCATCCTCCTTTGTACATTTTCCAGGAATTTATATCCATTCTGTAATAGGGTGCCCAAAAACGTGCAGCATAATCTAAATGAGCCAAACCCAAAGGATGTATAGATTAAAGAAAAACCGAGGACTCCTATTATTTATGCTTTTTGATATAAACCCCAAGGATTCTATTAGTTTATTGCGAACACTTATCCCTTTTTGTCTTGGTTTCAATTACCCTAACCGAACTCCTAAATCTTTTTGCAACCCCTAATATTAAATCTACATTATTTAGTTTATAGTGGCGGGTTTATTGTCCTGTCCAAACATTTAGAACTTTGTTTTTCTAATTAAACTGACTGCACTTCTCCGACCCTGCATAGTCTATTCAAATTTTCCTGGATGCTCGAATGTCCTCTCAAATGAATTCGACCCCTATTTTGGTGTCATGGGCAAACTTCCATGTCGCCTTTATCCCCTCATCTAGTCGTTAGAAATTTGGAACAGCGGGGGGCCCAACACTGCCCCCTGTGGAACCCGCTCGGACATTTTCCCCACCTGTTTTCTCCCATTTATGCAAACTCTCTGCTCCCCTTTTGTCCCCCCTGCCTCTACCCGGGAAAAAAATTTTTCTCCCCCTACCCATGTGCTTTAATTTTCCTCAATAGTCTCTGATGTGGGACCCTGTAAAAAAAGCCTTACGAAGTCCAATACACAATACATATTCATTACCATATCTACCTCCCAAATACCTTATGAAAAAATTAAAAATTCGTAAGGCGGGAAACCCCCTTTGAAAACCATGCTGAGATCGTTGATTAATTTATGCTTTTCAAGGGGCAAAAACTGCCTCGGCAATTTTATTCCAAAAATTTTTCCCCCACTTTGGGGGTTGGCCCTTATTGGTCTATAGTTCAAAGCTAAGGCCCTTCACCTTTTTTGAAAATAGGTATCACATTTCCATTTTCCATTATCTGGCACCATGCCTTTTAGTGAAATTTTGAAAAGATTAGCCAAAGGTGTGCAAGCTCCTCTTTACTTTCCCCTTTAGAACCTTGCATACAGTTCATCAGGCCGGGGGTTTTTGTTATTTTTTTAATTTTCTATTTGCCTATGACCATGTCACTTGTGACCCTAAAGGCACATTTTATTAGTCCTGTTCTCATAATTTATCATTATAATATCGGGGTATCCTCCTTGTAAAAACTAGGGGGAAGTTGGTTAAAAATTCTACACTTTTCCTTATAAACGTCAGTGAGTGACCCGAGGAACTTTTGAGGGGGCCCTATCTTGCCCCGACTTACTTCTGTATCCTAAAGAATTTTTTTTTGGGTTTAGTCTTCGATTCTTTTGCAATTTAACCCCTTAATCCTTTTGCTTTTCAAATTCCCCTTTTTTTTATTTCTCTCTTTAACTGAATAATCGTTTTTCTCAATTGCCCCCCCCCTTTTTTGTTTTTTCCTTATATGCCTCCTTTTGACCAATCAGATATTTTTTAAACTATTGTTCATCCATTTTTGGAATTTTTGTTTATCTGATTTCCCTATTTTAAAAATAATTTGACTGGCACTAGAACTATCCCCGGAAAGCATATATCGGCAACCATCACCACCTACCCGACCCCTTTGTCAGGTCATTCCCGTTCAGCCCCCCAAGAAATTTTTTAGTCCATGAAAAACCCCAAGCGAAAGTCAGGCGGAGACTTGATTGCCCTTATTTGGGAAATTTCCCTGATAAATTAAAATGAGTGATTGTGATCACTTTCCCCCAAACTCTCTTAACCCAGATTATTAAATTTTGTTTCCCTACTGGCAAGAACCCAAATCAAGAGGTTATTTCCCCCAGTTGGCTCTGTCCAAAGTTTTTTAAAAAAAATCCTGGATCTTTAAAAAAAGTCACCTGATCTAAATTTCCTTCAAATTGCTCCATCAAACTGTTATAGTTAAACTCCCATTTCACAAAAATTTTCGTATGTAATGCCTTTCGTTTTCGTCCCATAGAAGTTTACTTTCATCCCTATAAAATTTTGGGGGCCCTGTAAACACACCCCAAAAATTTGTTTTTCTCGCCCTCGAGAAGCTGTAACCAAACAGATTCAGTGGTGACGCTTCTAATTTAATACTTTTCTAACACAACAATTTTTAAATTTTCCGCATACATCGCTACTCCCCCACCTTTCCTGTTGACCGTCAGTGTGGAATAATTTATACCTTGTATGTGACATTTAGAGGGCACTTCCCCATTTTTGATTGACCAGGTCCTTTATAGAATTATCTATTTTCCTGCACTTGCAATTAATCTTTGCTCATTATCTTATTTCTTAACTCCTGCTATTGTAAGTAAACCTTAAGGGGGCTGTCCCTTTTCTGCCCTCTGCTGTCCCCCTTTGTTTGCTGACCTGATCTATTGTCTTATTTATAACTCATCTGAATGCCTTTTTTAATTTACTGTTTCCAACCCCCAAATGTTGCAACCTGCTTGTTTGGGGACCTGCTTTAGAGGGATAGGGGACCTGCTTTGTGAAGGGGGGGAAACCGCTTTATGAGGAATGGGGGGAACCCGCATTGTGGGGGATGGGGAACCTTCTTTTCAGGGGGTGGGGGACCCCGCTTTGAGGGGGAGGGATGGGGGGGCCGCTTTGTGAGGGGGGGTATGGTGATGGTACTGGGGCGGATTCAGGGGGGGAGCCGATGGTGTTGGAAAGGGGGGTTTTAAAAGAAAAAAGGTCTGGTGATGGGGATGTAAGTGGTGGGTCTGATGAGAGGGATATCATGGTGGGGGTTTTGGGGGACAGGGGGTGTCAGGGGGGTTGGGGTGGTGAAGGGGGGTGTATAGTATGACTCGGTGAGGGGTTGTCTGGGTGATGGGGCTGGGAGGGGTTTTCTGGGTGAGGGGCCCCGTAGGGGGTTTCCCGGGGATGGGGCGGTGAGGGGGTTTTCTGGGTGAGGGCTGGGGAGGGGGTTTCTGGGGTATGGGGCTGGTGAGGGGTTGTCTGGGTAGGGGCTGGTGAGGGGGTTTTCTGGGGTTTATGGGGGGTGGTGAGGGGGGTTTTCTGGGGGATGGGGTTTTTGTGAAGGGGATTAGGATAAGTCTGATTGCGGGTGTTTGGGGGATACGGAAGGGGGGGTAAATGATGGGGTCGGAAGGGGGTGATGGGTTTATTGAGGGGGGGAGGATGGGGGTTGGGGAGGGGGGGAAACGAGTGTGAGGGTAGGCTCCTTAGTGTTGCTGGGGCTGACACAGTGCTCCGACCCGACTATAACTCAAAAAATGGCCCGTATATTCTGGTCCAAGTAACCTGGAGGGGGTCTAGGGGGTCAATCCCCTGCGCCTCGGTCCATAACCAGGGCCTCGCGGGTTTATCAGGGCCCGTTTTAACAGGCTGTTACTGCTGGTGCACGCAAACCGACGTACTAGGAGCCACAGCCCGATGTGGAGGCCCCTCAAACCTATTTTGAAGTGTCTTGGAATTTTCCTCCACCACCTCATCTGGTCCATTACAATTGTTTACCACTGTAAACAATTGTTTTCTCAGCTTCCACCTATGCTCCTTCGTCAGTGAGAAAGGCATTTAGAAAACTTGTTCCTGTCTACTGTCAATACTTCCGAGCACTTGTGTTGTTATCATGGCTGCCATGTACTTTGTCTCTTCCCAAGTTGTCAGATTTAATTCTTTAAGCCTCTCAACGCTCTCTATTCTGAAACCATTCTCTCCCTTCTCCAACTGTTGAACATGTTCACTGAGGTGTGGGCTCAGTGCCGGTACGACGCAATCCAAAACAGACTTAATATAAGTCGTGTACAATGTTCTGAAGTTTCAGAAAGTATTTCTAAGACTTGCTGAGCTTAACATGAGCCGATGGTGTGTCCTTTGTACTTATTTTCTGTAACTTCTTTCATCCCAGCTTAAAAACTTAAACTACACACACACACACACACACACACACACATACACACACACACACACACACACACACACACACACACACACACACATACACACCACACACACACACACACACACACACACACACACACACACACACACACACACACACACACACACACACAAACACACACACACACACACACATGCATGCTTCAAGTGGGTAAAAAAGAAACTTTTTTAAATTCCTTATTTCCTTATTATTTTTCCTTTAAAATGACAACTAGAATGTTAACATTATAAGGTTCTGTTGTTTTTATCTTAACAAGACATAAGTATAATTTCAGTGTTGCTCAATAAATAAAAAAAAAATCACAGTATTTCTTGAGTCCTGTGCAACTAAGAGTGCTTCAGTGTACCTGTATGAGGGGGAACATTAGGACGTTTACCGAACATTAGGACGTTTACCGAGGACGTCTACTGCCCCTGTTCACCTAGCAGCTAAAATTATAAATTAAAATTCTTTATTTCTCTGTTGATATTACAATGTGGGGTTTACATGTTATAAAATACTGTATATTATAAAATACTTATTACAAAGAAGGCCACTAGTATGCCTAGGCATTTCGGGCAGACTAATACTAATTCTTGTTCTATATTGACACAGGTTATGAATCGTACTGATAATATCATACTGATATTAAAGTTAGGTAGCTGTAGTGGTTAACTAGATTTACAAAAGTGAGGTCAAAACTTTAAGAAATTAACAATATCTATTAATGGGAATGGTCTTGTCTTGGCATGATATAGTTTCTGTTAAACCATACCACGGGGCGGGGATAGAACCCGCGATCACAGTCTCAAAACTCCAGACCGTCGCTTTAAGTGGCTAACGTGACGGGTCTGGAGTTTCTATTAGTCGACTTGTGTGGGTCGCATCCTGAGGACAAATCTAGATTTATATTTAATACCTCTATGAGTACTAATTTTCCATAAAGGTTGGTTAATGGGGTTTAATTAAAGCCCAGTGACTACATTAGTGTCAGTGAAGAGTCAAGTTTCACCACCAGACAAGAATACTTTAATTTCAAGACTGAGGGATCGAACGCATCGACTTCAGGATAAGACTGATTGCTTTAAACCCCTTATCTTTCTCTGTCCTTCTCTGTATTGGACTGAAGAAGCCACTGGCTGGCAAAACGTTTCCTCAGTAAATTATTATTATTATTATCAAAAAGAAGCGCTAAGCCACAAGGGCTATACAGCGCTGTTCCTCAGAAAAGATTACCAAATGTTACACAAGTGTCTCAGTCTTCATGACAAAATATACACTGAGGTGTACTATCTCATCAGCAAGTGTCTTGATCTAGGGACCTGGATCTATGCTTCAGTTCCATGAATTAAGCCTGAATACCTCCCCCCCCCATAGGCGCTGTATAAACTTACGGGTTTAGCGTTTCCTCCTTGATTATAATAATAATAATCAGCTCATGCTGAGAATTCAGTCTATTTTTAAAGCATTCTTGTCTGGTGACGAAAAGATTACGAGGAGCCATAATGTCCTTAGTGCAGTCGATAGACTTAAAACCCAATTAACTATTCAACCTAACACCATGTTTTTAATATTGATTTTTACTTCATTTAATAGATATTACAAGGACCCCAGTGGAATTAAGTCACTTTGGCTTTCTGGGAGGTTATCCTAGGTAATTTACACATATATTACTAGGTAAGACCATTGTAACCATCCAAAGATGGTGTAACTCGAATACATTTATTTACTGAATTTAAGGATAAGTGATGACGGTAGTGTGTCGACGGGTCCTCCAGCCGTCTCAACCCTCGGGACTTGTGCGCCAACCTTCCTCAGGTGTGGTGTCTTACTCTCACTTGAGTATTGGTCACCTCAGGGGAGGTCCTTGACGTTGGTAAGGGGCTCTTGATTATTATTATAATAAAAAAGAAGCGCTAAGCCACAAGGGCTATACAGCGTAGGGGCTCTTGATCTTGGGAACTGTGCTCCGGTTTCTTGAATTGAGCCTGAATTCATTCCATTTCCCCCAGCATGCGCTGTATAATCCTAGGGGTTTAGCGCTTCCCATAATGAATATCGGTGACGAATTTTCCCTCCTCTCCCGGAGACGCTTGTCCTCATTTCTTTTACCCGCCGGGCACCTGGAGGGGCACCTGCTCATCGGCTTACTTTTATCCCGCTTCATTTTTTCCACTCTGCGGACAATTCTTTAATAGTGGGAAGCCGGTTACTGGGCTCAGGTGGGGCTTGACAAGGGCGTCCCTCCCTGCTGGGGCTTGACAAGGGCGTCCCTCCCTGCTGGGGCTTGACAAGGGCGTCCCTCCCTGCTGGGGCTTGACAAGGGCGTCCCTCCCTGCTGGGCTTGACAAGGGCGTCCCTCCCTGCTGGGGCTTGACAAGGGCGTCCCTCCCTGCTGGGGCTTGACAAGGGGCGTCCCTCCCTGCTGGGGCTTGACAAGGGCGTCCCTCCCTGCTGGGGCTTGACAAGGGCGTCCCTCCCTGCTGGGGCTTGACAAGGGTTGTCCCTCCTGCTGGGGCTTGACAAGGGCGTCCCTCCCTGCTGGGGCTTGACAAGGGCGTCCCTCCCTGCTGGGGCTTGACAAGGGCGTCCCTCCCTGCTGGGGCTTGACAAGGGCGTCCCTCCCTGCTGGGGCTTGACAAGGGCGTCCCTCCCTGCTGGGGCTTGACAAGGGCGTCCCTCCTGCTGGGGCTTGACAAGGGCGTCCCTCCCTGCTGGGGCTTGACAAGGGCGTCCCTCCCTGCTGGGGCTTGACAAGGGCGTCCCTCCCTGCTGGGGCTTGACAAGGGCGTCCCTCTATCATGTGGGAGTTCGATACGTGGATTAGGGTAGAAATACTCACGTAGGCTGTTATTACTTATAATTGCTGTTATGTGGAGGGAGCCCGCAGCCGTTACCTATCTCCTTGGTTACACTCGTCAAAACTGACTAGCCGGCTGGCCAGTACCCCGTAGTGGGTCTTTTGAAAATAGTGTCAGCTCAGCACAGACCGTGACTCAAGACGGTTGGTCGTTGAGTCAACGGACAGGTTACTGGTAACTGGTTACTGGTAACTGGTTACTACTACTGAGAGCTCGGCGACGCTAACGTATGTCGTCCCGACATACAACTAATACAAACTAGAGATGGCAGGTATACGGCTTGGGCTGATTCTATACAATGTCAAAGTACACAACATGAAACATTATAGATACATAAGTAGAACATTGGAATGAAAGCTTACGTAACTGAAACTGTAATGTAATACAAGGTATACTATAGTACAACTTAAAACTCAACAAATGAACAACGAACTCAACATTGAGATTACAAGTGATAAAAACAAAAATTTTGATCGATCGATCTGTATTCATGTGATCTACGGATTCTGAGGAAGGAATATATACAAAGAAAGAGTGTTTAACAGAAAGGCAGATTCGGTGCACGCAAATCTAGACTGTTAACTCTCAGAATGCGGAGAGAACACGAACACACAAAAAAAAAATTCTTGAATACTGATAAGTTGATACTGTAATTATTCATCTATACAGGTTATTTACATTTAACCCCAACTCTGCTAGGGTAAGATTGGCATATGCAGAATGGGTGTCATCTCTGGGAGGATCAAACTCTGTAGCATTGGCTAACTCATGCTGTATTTGAGGCAAATCTGAATTGGAAGTTACAAATGATACTTGAGGATTTCTCAATACCTGTCGTGTACGTAGGGAATAACGACATTCAGGTTGATCATCTGACTGAGTATCAGAGGAAGAGAGTACAGGATCAGGAGGATTGTCAGAGTCTGTCACATTAGTCTGGGTTGGAACATCATTATCATCACATACTAACTTCATCTGCTCCAATTTTGAAATTTCCAGATTTTTCTAAGCCTTTCTATCTGACAACTGATGCTAGTTCAATTGGCATAGGTGCCGTACTAGCTCAGAAGACCGATGGCAAGTACAACGCAGTTGCATTTGCTAGTCGCGTCCTTACGAAGGCTGAACGTAATTATACAGTAACTGAGCAAGAAGCTTTAGCAATAGTATGGTCTTTAAGCACTTCCGAGACATTATTTATCAGTACTCTGTTCATGTCTTGACAGATCATGCTCCACTGATACCCTTATTCCAGAACAAACAACCTACTGGAAGGTTAGCTAGATGGACCTTGACTATCCAAGAGTTCAATCCCACCTTTGAGCATTTACCTGGCAAGTCAAATGTAGTCGCAGATGCCTTATCGCGATATGTTAGTATAGTAACTGCAGACCCTCCATTTAGTGCTGAAGATGTAAAGAATGCTCAACGAACAGATCCCATGTGGTCTGGTGTGATTCGATTCCTGCTCCAGGAAGATCTTATTCTGACTGTGAAGCCACCAGCTCCCATCATGTGGGAGTTCGATACGTGGATTAGGGTAGAAATACTCACGTAGGCTGTTATTACTTATAATTGCTGTTATGTGGAGGGAGCCCGCAGCCGTTACCTATCTCCTTGGTTACACTCGTCAAAACTGACTAGCCGGCTGGCCAGTACCCCGTAGTGGGTCTTTTGAAAATAGTGTCAGCTCAGCACAGACCGTGACTCAAGACGGTTGGTCATTGAGTCAACGGACAGGTTACTGGTAACTGGTTACTGGTAACTGGTTACTACTACTGAGACCTCCCTGCTGGGGCTTGACAAGGGCGTCCCTCCCTGCTGGGGCTTGACAAGGGCGTCCCTCCCTGCTGGGGCTTGACAAGGGCGTCCCTCCCTGCTGGGGCTTGACAAGGGCGTCCCTCCCTGCTGGGGCTTGACAAGGGCGTCCCTCCCTGCTGGGGCTTGACAAGGGCGTCCCTCTGCTGGGGCTTGACAAGGGCGTCCCTCTCTGCTGGGGCTTGACAAGGGCGTCCCTCCCTGCTGGGGCTTGACAAGGGCGTCCCTCCCTGCTGGGGCTTGACAAGGGCGTCCCTCCCTGCTGGGGCTTGACAAGGGCGTCCCTCTGCTGGGGCTTGACAAGGGCGTCCCTCTCTGCTGGGGCATGACAAGGGCGTCCACTGGATCTAATTCAATTCAATTCAAGTTTATTCTCTATAATGGTTACAATGTGGGGTTTACAGGTTTTGGGTATTGTGTGGTTTACATGTTATAAAATACTAATTACAGAGGGGGCCACTAGGACACCTAGCATGGCTAGGCATTTCGAGCAGACAGATTAATTCTTAACATTAAATCCTTACAGATTATAGTATTAAGGCTAAGTGACTACATCATAATTTGTGAGTTTAGCAATGTGAATCCCCTCAAGGAAGGTTCCTTGATGTTGGTGAGGGGCTCTTGATTTAGGGAATTGGATCTGTGCTCCAGTTCCCAGAATTAAACCTGAATGCCTTCCACATCCCCCCCAGGTGCTGTATAATCCTCCGGGTTTAGCGCTTCCCCCTTGATTATAATAATAATAATAATAATAATAATAATAATAATAGCAATGTGAATGCTTTTGTTATGGCACAATACGAGGTGTCTATATTTGAGTATCATAGGCAAACTTATGGGTTTAGCGTTTCCTCCTTGATTATAATAATAATAATCAGCAGTTAGGATTTATTATTTTAAGATTAAGATTAGTATTTCTGGGTTTATAGTCAGTGGGTGAGTGAGTGTAATTTTGAACCACCAGGTGGTTATCATGTAGTTAGTTGTCGGGGTGGATCAGGGAGATAAGATGTTTTCAAACTGTAGTTTTGAAAGTGATGAATGTGTCTGCAGTTCTAGAGTTTTCAGGTAGGGTGTTCAAGATTTTAGGTCCTTTGAAATACATTGAATTTTTGTAAAGGTTTAGTCGAACACAGGGAATGTCATAGAGATGTTTGTGTCTGGTGTTATGCCTGTGGATCCTGTCACAACTATCAAGAAAGCGTTTTAGGTCAAGGTTAATATTGGAATTTAAGGTCCTGTAGATATAGATTGCACAGTAGTAAATGTGGATGTTCTGAACAGGGAGTAAGTTTAGATCTATGAAGAGTGGGGGGGGGGGGGTTGCCAGGGATGGGATTTAGTGATTATTCTTACTGCAGCTTTTTGTTGGGTTATTATTGGCTTTAGGTGTGTTGCTGCAGTTGAACCCCAAGCACAGATAGCATAGGTGAGGTATGGATATATAAGTGAATGGTATAGTGTGAGAATGGCAGTTTGCGGTACGTAGTATCGTATCTTGGAGAGGATCCCCACCGTTTTGGATACTTTTGGTTATGTGGGGTGCTGAAATTTAGGTTGTTGTCGAGGTATAGGCCAAGGAATTTGCCCTCATTATGTCTGGTAATTAGTGTGTTGTCGATCTTAATGTTAAGTTGTGCAACACCTACTCTGCTACCAAACATAATATACTAGGTTTTGCCAGTGTTAAGTGTAAGTTTATTGGCTGTCATCCAAGTCGATATTTTGAGCAGCTCCTCGTTAACAATGGTGTTGAGGGTGGCAAGATTAGGGTGGGAGATGACAGAAGTCGTGTCGTCAACAAAGAGAATGGGTTTCAGGTGTTGGGATATGTTTGGAAGATCATTGATGTATATGAGGAAGAGCAGGGGTCCAAGGACACTTCCCTGCGGAACTCCAGTATCAAGTGGCCGTGTTGTTGATGCTGTGTCTTTAATGGTGACATACTGATACCTATTAGAAAGGTAGGATAAAACATGCAAGCGCATGGCCTCTTATACGATAATGGTCAAGTTTGTGGAGTAGGATGTCGTGGTCTACTGTGTCAAACGCTTTTCTTAGGTCAATAAAAATTCCTAGCGGATATTCCTTATTTTCCAATGCTTTGTAAAGCAGGTCTAGCATTTTTATAATTGCATCATTAGTGCTTTTATTTTTCCTGAATCCAAATTGACAGTATGTTTTGTGACGTTATAAA